ACGAACTTGGCGGCACTGCCGCGCTCCTCCTGCACTTGGTGGACATGCCCATGATCACAAAAGAACCCGGCCGTTGAATGGCCTCGAGAACGGAAATCAAACTTTGGCGAAGGGGGCGATAGGCATCTCTGAGCATATATAGTAGAACGTTTAGCGGCACCCACATATCTAGGCTGGCAGCAACGCGAATACTTCTAGGGCGAAACGTCCGACGTGGGCACGGCAAATGCGGCAATAAATGGATAGAAAAATACAACAGCGTACAACGTCACCACCCCTCCCCCCTCGGCTCCAGAGCATTGACTGGGCAAAGTGAGCGAAGACAACGGTACCAATCTGGGAAGGCACGCTCTTGGGGCAGGACACAAACAAAAGAGTGCAAAATGAAGACCTCTCGTTTGTTCGGCATTCTCTCCACGTTGCCCACTCGACGAGAACAAAAAGTCCTCGTTGTATTTACTCCTGCGCATCCCCAGATCCGCTACGTTCGTACGACTGCGGGGTGCATCATGTGAAACGGCCACAGCAGTACAAACGCCAAAAAAAGCAAAAAAAGCCGCCCTCTCTCACCTCTGTCAGCACCGCCACCAGCTGACGCACTGGCATCTCCTGCTCGGGACCCGCCTCGGCGAGCAAACCACACAGCGCGCTTCTGCTCTGCCCCAGCCTCGCAAGCGCGGCGTCAATCCTTCGGGCAAGGTTCGCCCACGCCGTCGCCTCCGGGCCTAGCTCGTGACCCGGAACGGTCGCCGCCGCCGCCGCCGCCGCCCCCGCGACCGCCCCCGCCCCCGTGACCGCGCCATCCCCGCCCGCGCCTGCTACTACTCCACGGACGTCTTCCCCGGGGCCTGTTGCCGCCGGTCTCCCCTTATCTCTGGACGACGGAGCATCGCCGCCTTGGCGTTGCCGACTGGTCGGCGGCGAACCGGACGTGCCCACCACCACCTGCTCCACCCAGGCTCCGACGGGAGCGGCCAGAGTGCTAAACGACCAAGTGCTCGGTTCTTCTTCTTCACCTCCCCCGCCACCGCCCGCCGCCGTATCCTCGCCGATTGCTGACCTGGGCGTGGCCAGCCCGGGCTTCCGGTACTCTCGGGCATCACTCCCGCCGCTAAACACCGCCTGCGTGATCGCGCCCGACATGGCCAGCGCCAGCGGGCACCCGCGGCACAGGTCCACCAGCCGGCCCCCCTCCTCACACAGCGCCACCTCGCCCGCCGCCCTCGTCGCCAGCTGCCTGGCGACCTCCACGCCCAGCGGCTGCGCCATCGTCGCCTCCGCCCCGACCGCCTGCAGCAGACCCTTCACCGGGCTGGTGACGAGCAGCTGGCAGCCCGACTTCCACAGGGCGTCCACCACCTCCCTCTCGTGCACGTCGTCCACCACCACCAGGCAGCGGAGACCGGCGAGCAGCGGCCCCCGGCACAGGTCCGCCACGTAGTTCACCGCCTGGTCCTGGTCCCGGAAACGCACCGGTTCTCGCAGGTTCGGGTCCGCCAGCGCGGCGCCCGGGTCGCCGCCGCCGCCGCCAGCGTCGCTGCCCCCGCCGCCGCTGCCCACGCTCCGCCTTAGCAACGCAGACGATGACGCCCCCCCCGCATGCTCGCCGTCCGTCAGCCAGGCGTACACCGTGTCGGCGAGGCCCTGCAGGACCGAGACCAGGCGGTGGTTCGCCCCCTTCCCCGCGTGCAGCCAGAAGACTCGGTCCCCGAACCGGCAGCGCACTGTGGCGTCCCGCACGACCGCCGCGGCGAGGACAGTCTTGCCTGACCCACTGGGCCCGCCGATCCCCGCGATCTCCAGCGGAAGGAAGGGGTGCAAGATGGTCGCCTCTATCTGCTCCGTGAGCTTCTCCCTGGGCACGTACGCCGGCGGGGGCGGGGGCACCCGCGGCAGGGGGAGCAGCTCGCCCGCTGCCACGAGCGTCGCCGAAAGAGCCCGCCTCAGCTCCCGGCCGAGCGCCGGGCCCTCCGCCCTCCGCACGCAGTTCCAGGCCGCGCTGTAGCCGCGGCTCGCCGGGCCCACGTCACTCGCGTGGGTCACGAGCTCCGCCAGCTCGGCGAACCGGGCGGGCTCGTGGAGCAACGTCAAGACGTCGGCGAGACGGTTCGGGGTGAGCTGGTCGAACTGCCCCTTCGCCCAGTAGGAAGGACAAGGCGGCAGCTTCAGGTCCATCGAGAAACTTCCCCGCCGCCCGGGCCTGCTGGAGCCACCGCCTCCTCCTGCCGACCCACCGGCGCCGGCGCCGGCGCCGGCGCCGCTGCTACCGCTGCGCTTGCCTCCCTCGCCCTCCTTCTCCGAGAGCTGGGCGATGGCCTTCTCTATCCTCGCGCAGGGCTCCTGCAGGTCGCCCCCTTCCCCGCCCGCGAGGATCTCTTCCCACGCCGTCGCCACCCCGATGAGGGGCAGGGTGAAGCGCCGCACGACCGCGCTGGCCCTGTAGCGCTCCACGACGTCGATGAGCTGCAGGACGCTCGACTCTATCTTCCGAACCAGGTCCGTGGACTCCACGATGTCCTGCACCGTCCTCGAGATCAGCACCGCCCACGCCCGCGCGCACCTCCTGCAGACCTCGCCCAGCACCGGCCCGCACGCACGGACGCACACGCTCGACACCGCCGCCTGGAAGCTGCGCAGCTTCTCGTAGACGCCGCCGAGGAGCATGGCCTTCGGCGCGCACGACGCCCCGAAGGAGGAGTTGATGTCCCACGTTGGCTCCAGCACCGCCCACAGCTCCTCAAAGCCCGAGGGCCCCTGGGCCGCTTCGTCCCGCGGGGCCCCGCCGCTCAGGTGCAGGCCGGACATGGCCGGGATCGCCCTCACCCCGGCGGTGGGCAGGTAGATCGAGGCCCTGGCCTCTCCCACCGCCCCGCCGGGCGGTGAGTCCGGAGACGTGCAATCCGTGCCCCCGCTCCCTCGCCTGCCGTAGCTGGTGCCGCTCCCTCTGCTGCCGTAGCTGACCATGCTCCCCCGGCTGCCCCTGCTGCCGTTGAACGCCGTCCGCGCCGCCGCGGCCGCCGCCACCGTGGCCGGCGTGGGCGCGAAGGGCAGGCTGCCGCTGTCGCACGTCATGGTAGTCCCCGCCTCCGACGGCGCGGCGTACACGTCGGGAGACAGGGCGGGCTGGATGGTGAGCTTGCCGACAGACTTGTCCGAGTTCGGAGGGCCGAAGGAGTCGGTCCTGGAAGTGCCGAACGACTCCAGCCTGTCGACGGTCGTCATCATGCCCCCCGAGGCCTTCTCGCCCGCCGCGCCGCCCGTGCCCCCCCCCATGTCTTCGACCACGGAAGGGTGTCTCTCGTCTAAGAAGGGCAAGCTGCGGGAGGTGTGCGACGCGGCGGCGACGGTCTCGGGGCTCCGCCTCGAGACAAGCGTGGCGACACCAATTGCGGCGTCTTCTTCCGCTTGCCGGTGACGCCTGCCCGCCACCGTCTCTCGCTCCTGCGCCCCCCTCCCGGCCTTACTGACGGCCGACCGCCCCTCTTGCACACCTCGCGAGGCCGACGGGCCCGGGTGCGCCGGTGCGCCCGCGCTGCTCCTCCGCCCGCCCACCCCCACAACAACGTCCTCTTCCGAAAAGCTCGTAGAGCTCCTTACGTACATGGGCCTATCAGTGTGGCGGGGGTGGTACGGCTCGTCAACCTCGAGGCTGTCCACCGACGAACTCCTGCTGAACCGTTGCTTCGCCGGGACCCCTCTTCGTTCCAACGCCCCGGCCCCTGCCCCGCGCGCCCCCCCGTTCCTAGGCACCGCTTCCGCCCTCCTCGGCGCCGCCGACACCTCTCGCCCGGACGATGACAGGGGCGGGGACTCGCTGCTGTCGTAGCTGCTGTCGCGATATATGGCCTCGAACCGCTTCTGCGCCTCCGCGGCTGTATCTGGGGGCGGCGGCGTCGCTTTCACCGCCGGGGGTCCCTGCTGCTGCTGCTGCTGCTGCTGCCGCTGCGATAGCGGCGGGTCCGCCGCTACAGGTCTTGCCAAGGGTGGTATATTTCGTTTGTCGACTATACGCGGTTCAAAGGCGGGGACGGCCCCCTTCGGTTTAGGCGCCGGCGCCAGCTCCGGCGGCGGCGGCGGCGATAGGACCGCGGCGGGGGTGGCGGGGGCGGTGGTGTTGCTGCTACGCGCGACCGTCCGCGAGAGCTCCGGCCGGCGCGAAAACGCGAAAGCTTCGTTCTGCAGCGCGCCGCCGCCGCCGCCGCCGGTGCCGGTGCCGGCCGGCGGCAGGGGCTGCGGGGGGTTTACCCGGCCTCGTCCGAGTGGCGGGCTTGCCCTCCCGTGTCTTTCTGGTGGGGACGAGTTCACCGGCCTAGACTTGCTACTGGCTCTGCTGGGCTGGGCAGGCGCCGGGTCTTGGAAAGCCGGCGCCGACTCCTTCGCGTCGGTGGCCAAGACCCCGCCGGGAGCGCTGGTCGGGCGACGGAGAGACTCCGCGGTCAGCCGGTCCTCCTTGCGGACGGCTAGCGGGCCGCTCGGGGAACCGTGACCGCCGCCATACAGCGTGGTGGTGTTGGTGGTGTTGGTGGTGGACGGATCGCTCGAGCTGCTTTTGTGCCGCAACCCCTCCGCCGAGACTCCCTCCCCCGCGTCCTCTTCCACGTCAGCCTTGCCCTCGATCGCGAGCCCGGTGTTCTTGAGGCGGGAAGCGGGCTGCGTCGCCGACTTCGACGCTGGCCCGGCGGCGGCGGCGGCGGCGGCGGCGGGGGAAGGGCCCCTCCTCTCGCTGGAATCCGAGAACCGGGCCCAAGTGGGGATCATCGAAGACGCCTTGCCGGCGCGCTTCGACTTGCGGACGTCGGTGGAGCCGAAGCCCACCATCCTCGACCTCATGATCGCGTCGGGGGACTCGGACGTACTCTTCGGCGACCGCTGTTGCGACCCGTCGAAGGACGACCCGGCCGGCCCGTCCCGCTCCTCGTCGCTCGAGGACGTCGACGCCCCGTCCACGTCAAGCAGCTCCGCCCCCAGGGTGTCGCTCACCGACCGCATCAGCATGCCCTCGCTGCGCCTGCCGGTCCTCCCTCTCATCCCGTTCGATCCCCCGGCCTCTCCCCGCACCCCGCCTCCGCTCCTCCTCATGTTCACCGGGTGGCCATTCGTGTTCCTGGCATCACCCGTCCCGGAGACACTGCGGGCACTCCGGGAGTGGTGCTCCAAAGCTCGCCGCGCCGACGCCGCGTTCTCGGAGGCCCGCACTCGGCCTCGCCCCCGCCCCCGCTCCCGCCCCAGCGCGACCCCCGCCCCACATCGACGGCCCGTCACCGCCAGGCGACAGGTGGTACATGTTTCTCGCGGCCAGGCCGGCGGCGGCGGCAGCGGAGGCGGAGGAGGCCGGGTCCCTGTCCACTCCGCCCACCTGCGCAGCGGTGACCGTCCCGCCCTGTTGCTGCTGCTGCCCGCCCCCCGACCCGTTCGGGAGCGCGGAGCCGGCCGGCCGGAAGAGCGCCACGAGGGCGGCGCACACTTCACGGGTTTCGACGGTCACGTAGAGGTTTCGGTTGCTGAACACGAAGACTAGGGTCCGCCCGGGACTCGCGGCCCTGCCTCCTTGGCCCCCAGGGACACTCGTTGCGGGCCCCACCTGAAAAGGATGATGGTGGTTCAAGTGTCGGTTGGCGCGAGGGAGGATGAGAGAGCGTCGACCGCAGGTAAGTAGAGTTGAGCGTTAGGTTCATGGGAAGTGCACCCAAGGCGGTGTCGAGGCAGAGAGGCACCACAGGAGGAGGAGGAGCAACACTGCTGATCTAAACACTCAACTTGCGCAGCATGCATGCATGCGGTGCAGTTGGCAAACAGGATGAAGTTTAGCCGCAGTTCCGTTATTTAGCTTGTGTGGGTGTTGGTGCTCCCAGTCCTCACGTGGATGTACATACACATACACACGCCAGGCCCAATGTGGTGTATCCCTCGCGACCGGCTGCTGTAGTGCCCACTACAGCAGTTGTAGGTACTTTCTACTCACGAGTGCTACACTGCTGCGTGTGTACACACAGACACTCAGAGAGGCGCCACTGCTCTCATTGACAATTCGACGGACTCGCAACGCATGTTCGTGTACACTTTTGTACCACACGGAAAGCAAATAAGTACACACACACACGAGGGGCATGTGCAGCCTAAGGGCACCAACCAGCGTTGTGTTGAGTTTGAGTCATTGAAACCTCTGTGGCGGAAGGAAAGAAGACCGGCAGCAGCAGAGCGGAGGGACGAAGAGTTCTCTCGCCGATTTCAAGTCAAAAACTCATGGTCAAGCCGCGTGGCAATCAACAACAAATGGGCGTTGTGTGCCACGACTCATTAGACAGTTGCCAAACAACAAACAAGCGTTTTGTAGTGCAGCAGCTACATAATTCTCTCACGCACCTCTTCCAGGTTCCTCAGGTTGTACGTCCGAGTCTTCCGGTTGAAGTAGTACGCGTTCGTGCTCTGGCGGAAGACCTCCAGGGTCGAATCATCCGTGTCCAGGCGGAGCCGCCGCTGGTCGCTCTGGCCGCGGTTGTTGTGCTTCACGACCGGGATCCCGTCCCCGTTCTTGAGCACCGGGAGGATGTCATCCAGGCTCAGCACCAGCTCATCCCGCACCGGCGTGTTCCTCGCCGCCATCGTGCCCCACCGCGACAGCAGCGTATGCTGCTCTGCTGGTGTCCCACCGCCGCCGCCGCTGCTAGCCGTGTCGGCCTCAGCATGCAGTACCACACGGCAGCCGAGAATCTGTTTTCTGTGTTTTCAGATTCACCGCCCTCTGTCTTTTGCGTCCGATCTATGCAACAAGATGGCGGCGATTGATGCGGTGGCTAGTAGGGGCAAGGGACACGATGGTGACACACGACAGAGGGTGGGGGAACCATTTCGCTGGCCGGTCAGTCATGGGGTCAACGACTGGGAACCGAGGTGGTTCGACGCTCTCAGTTTTGTAGGCAACAACAACAAAACGTTTTGACTGCTGCTCCTGCTGTGGGCAGCCAACAACGCGACTCTCCATCTAGCTGCTGAATAACAAAAATTCGTCGCTGTCTTGCTTACCTAACCTTGCTCGGGTGCTGTGGCCACACTAAAGTCTCTCTGTTTCTCTCTCTCTCTCTCACCTGTCCGCTGGACTTTTTTTCCCTCCCGCCGCCGCCGCGGCATACGTGATGGGGAAAAGAGGTAAATGAATGTCTGCGCGCGACGCAGCAGTCACATCCATGAAGCTCCGTATATCACCGTCAATAGTCGGCGGAATCCCGACAAGTGGTGGGTTTCTTCCCACACCTCAAGTCAGTGAAGTTGAGCCGCAAACCCAGCCCAGCCGGACTTTAGCTTTGGAGGTGGCCCTCTTGTGCACACGTGTACGTCACGCACAAGTACTCATGACATTCATGCGCGAACAAGCAAGGTTTAGGTTTGCGCCGGCTTAGAGAAGCACGGAAAAATGGAGAAATGAACCAAATACATTGAAGCAGGAGGCAAAACAAAAAGACTTGCAGGTAGGTACTTTCTGACGCTATGAATACATTGCTAATCTGTCTCAAACTCTTTTCTATGATAGAGATCGTTAAGTTGTGTCATATTAAGAAAAAAAAATAATAATAATAAATGCTGTCTGGGAAACCGTAGACATACAGGTACTTTCTACTTTCTGACGCTATGAATTCATTGCATATGATTGCTAATATCTGTCTCAGACTTTTCTATGATAGAGATGGATTCGTTGTGTCATACTAAGAAAAAAAAAAAAATGAAGGTACCCAGGAACAAACAGCTTCCTACAGGCACTTCACGCGCAATTACTGGCGTACAAGCACTATTATTATAGTACATACAATAGTAGTCCAGTTGTTAACAATGGCGCATATATATGATGTACGGGTAGTAACCCGGGGATCAAAGGGGGTTATTTTTATGTGTTGGTTTCCCGCGTACTACCGTGCGATGGGTTCTTCTTCGTCAAATTGTCAAAATTAATTCCACACGAACTCGGCGCCAGCGGAAAGAGAAAACGTTGTGTCATATGAAGAAAAAAAAAAAAAAACATAGTCTCACGAAAGGATGCCGTACTGTAAACCTATTATAATAGGCTGGCTACAGACTACTCACCGAGGGTACAGAGCACAAAAACGAGCTTCGGGCATACATACTGCTGTAGAAGACGTTTTATCAATTTAATTGGTGGCGCGTTTATTTGTACTCTTCCTTCGAAGGCCCCAACATCAACCTCTGAGTGATGAGTAGTGGGTTTTAGCGCAACAACGCCAGAGAGAGCGGCACACGGTCTTCGGGGGTATGATCGTCTTTCGTACGCGCGAAATTTCCATCATGCATATGCCATCATCTACCGTCGTCGGAGTCATGCAACCAACCCTAGCTTCAACTTCTGGCTTTTTCACAAAAAGTATTACATAGGAGGGGTGTCCATTCTGCATGCATGCGCGCATGCTTCATCCTCCTCGCAGTGCTGATGACAGACAGCGGCCTCTTCGCAAGGGAAGCAAGATTCACACTCGTCACATATGACAACACAGACTAATACATATTATGGGTGACACCAAATTCAATTTGTTGGAGGTAAAAACAGAACGCCGTGATCGAACCGCCGCCTGCCGCCACAAGAAGGAAAACAAGCTAGCTACGGTTGATTCATACACGAACGTGAGACGTGAGGAGAAAAAAACTACAAGCTTGTGCCTCATGTTGGTGCACCCAAAGCGGACAGACGTAAGTAAAGCTAGCTCTTCGTCCACGGCATACACAGTATCAGGTACCATCAGCTATGCACAAAACAAGCTACGTACTACAGACGACCCCAGACAAAAAAAACTGTCAGGATGCTCCGAGACACACCGCACTAATACTACCATTTGCTCAACTCGTACCATGCTACAATGCCTGCGCCATCGACATGATGGTGCTTTTATGCGGCCCAATACCGCTGTACTCGTCTGTCCGTGGACAAAAACAGCATCCTTTCGTGTCTCTCTTCGGCGAACACGCACATACCACACGTGGTTTGGTTCAACCTCCCACCACTACCACCACACATCCCCCACCGCCAAGGGTTTACAAAAAGATATTGGCGACACCATCCACATTGATCCACACAGAGGGCGGCAAAACGTTTTGAGCACGACGCGGCACGCCCCGTTCGGAACGCCACCGCTTCTACTATGTATGCTGCTAATATCTACATTCAGCTCACCGAAAGCAAAGAAAATCTTGCCCAGTCTCCTCGAGCTATACTATCGTCGCCACCTACTACTCTACCCACTCACGCAAGATTCCCAAACTTGCTTGACCTATAAAAAAAAACACAGTCCCGCTACACCAGTCAATCGTTCTTGTAGATCGAACGACCGGAAGAAGAAGCATTCCATGCATCACGCGACAAGGCCACGCCACCCGCCTGAGCAGTGGAGTCACACCCAAAAACGTGCGTACCATCAGCGAACTCTCACCCGGTCAGCAGCGCACCGGCCGTGCGATTCAGCAACGATCAATCGCAGCCTCGCACCGTCGAACCGGCGCAGTATATAGCGCTACGGACCGATGGCGTGTTTCTGGGGGAAGACGCCGCCACGAAGCTACATAGCACGAACTCACCACCAAGAGTGCAAGCCAGGTCCAGATCCAGAGCCACCGGGAAACACAGCAAGTGGGCGCGCGTGCATGCCCACCGTTGATCGCACTACTACACTTTCGAGGGGAGAAGACCACACCCACCTTCTTTTGGGGAAGCACGTTACGACAAGAGTGTCACGACAGTCTTCCTCGTGCTCGCCACATACCATCTCTCAAGCGGCGAAACCAACATTTTTCAACCGGTCTGTAAAGCCCCGACGCCAACCGCTTGTCTATGGCAAAAGGGGGCGGGCAAAACACCCGGTACAACATGATGACTCGTTCTCTGGTGCGCCACATGGGCACAAACGGCAACGTCGTTCCCTCTCGAAAAGCAAAAAAAACACACACACAAACGAACAGCCTTCCAAAAAGACGCTTCGTCATTTTCATCTTAACCTCTGCCCTCTCCTCCCCTATCAGAGCGGCGCCTGCTGCGGCGGGGCCGGGGTAAAGTGAACCACCGTGGCGCACACGTCGTCGTGCAGCATCCTCCTCGACGAGCCCCGCGGCAACGCCCGCAGGGCGGGCACCGACATGCCGTGGCTCTGCGCCGAGCGCGCGAGCACGAAGTCGACGAGAGCGTCGCTGGTGAAGGGCACCGCCCCGCCGCTGCCGCCGCCGCCGCCGCCGGCCGCCGTACGACTAGCGGCCGACCGCTGCCGGCGACCCATGGAGCCGCTCGCAGACGCTAACGCTCCCGACACGCATTGCACCGCTTCTTCGTTGGACACCTGCTCCCACACGCCGTCGCTCGCGAGCACCAAGAAGCGGTCCTTCGACGTGAGCTCCACGACTGTCACCTCGGGTTCGGCGGTGATGTACGGGACCCCCTCCTGGGAAGAAGCGCGAATTGATAGCCACCGTAACGATATGGGTCTTACTTACATGGGGGTGAGGGGATGGGGGCGTGGGGCGTGTACTCGTGCTGCTTCGCAAGGGACAAGAGTATGTCTGCCAAGCACGTGACGGGTACACGATGCGGTGCTGGCAACGGCCTTCGCAGCCATACCCACCGCCACAAAAACACCACAACAAACGGCAGCATCGCACACACCTTGTAAGGGCTGAAGCTGAACACTGCCCTCTTGAGGTACGCGTCCCCTATCGCCCTGGTGACCGCGAGCGACCCCGCCACCCGCTTGATCGCCCGCGCGCCCTTCCACTCGTCGTTGCGGCTCGCGCGGATGGCGTTGTCATCTCCGCTGCGCGCCCGCACAAGCGCAACCTCGTCCGCGTCATCGCAGTTGTGATCCCGGGATAGAGCGATGGCCTTCAGCTCGCTGTCAGCGGCGCCGGCGGCCCGAAGCGGGGACCCCACACGCCTCGGCCCTGCCGTCGCCGTCGCCGTCGCCGCCCCCCCCCCCCCCTTGGAACACCTACCCCTGCCAGCCGCAGGCCCCCCGTCTCCCCCCTTGCCGCCGCTAGCACCGCGTTTTCCTCCTGCCGCTCCCACCCGCCCCTTCCCCGAACTACTCGGGGGCGAGGGCGACGGCGTGTTCTTAGCCGTGGACAGCAAGTCGGGGGGAAACCGAGCGGCGTCCGTGGTTCCCAGAACGACTCGGCAGTCCCCGACGTGAGCCAGGAAGAGCTGGGAGCGGACCAGGAGGGCGAGCACGACGCAGCAGCCGGCATTGATGTAGCCCCGGTTCTTCGTCGGATCGAGCTGGGCGATGAACTGCTCGTCGCAAGAGGTGAACGCGTCAGCTAACGACACCCGGATCTCTGCCTCGCGGCCGGCCCGGTCGTCGTCGCCACCACCGGCATCGCTCCCGCCTCGCCCCCGCGCCGTCGCCGGGGCTGCTGCCGCTTCTATCGACTCGACTCGCGTCAGGACGTCGGCCGCGAGGTTGTCGCACACGAACTGCGCGGCGCGGCTGCCGCCGTGGCCGTCGCACACGCAGTAGACCTTGATGCCGAGAGCGTCATGGGAGAGCTCCGCGTGGCGGTCCTCGGTAGGGTTGTTCGCCTCGTACACGCTCGTGTGGTGCCACGGGATGACCCCGCCCGGGCTGTTGAACGGAGCAGCAGCGGCAGCAGAGGGCTTGTTCGATGTCGGCGGTGGTTGTGCTGCCGCCGCCGCTTGAGCCGCAGCCGCTTGAGTCGCCGCCGCCGCCGCCGCCGCCGCGGACGGCGAGGCCCTGCCCTTCGTCTCGTCGAAACTCTTGCCCGTTACGCCACCCCTCGCCTCCCCGTTACCACTTCCGCAAGAAACCGGCCGCCGATCTGGATTTGGCGAGTCGGCGCTGCTGCAGCTGCTGGCGCGATCCCTGTCCAACTCTGGGTCCTGCACCGGCGGGCACGACATCCCGCCTACCGCACGTCCGGGGCTCCCGGTCCCGTGGGTTTCCCCGCCGCTGTGCGACGGCATCAGACACGCGTCCTCCTCAGGAAGGCCGCGCGACATGAAAATGGGCTGACGGCCGATCTTGGCCTTCCACTCAATCGGTGCCACCGCCCTCATGCCGACGCCGCTACTGGCGCCTCTGCCGTTGCTACCGCCGCCGCCGCCGCCGCCACCGCTTGCGCCGCCGCTGCCGCCGCCGCTGCCGCCGCGGTCACCGTGCGTTTCCGCGTCTTTTGTGTCGTGCCGCTCGGTTTCCTCCTCTTCCTCCTCTCCGGCGCTGCCGGCCGCCTCGGCGCTGCCGCTGGCCTCGCTGTTGGCAAGAGACCCGCTTTGCTCCCTCCCTTCGTCCAGAGCAGCGCCGCTTCGCGGGCAGCTGATTTCCCTAATGCCCGTCCCTATCCTTCTTCGCTTCGGTGACGCCAGCGTCGACGCGCTAACCTTTGACCCCCCACCATCCCGACGGGAAGCTGCCTGCTGGCTCCCCCTGTTGGAGCTGCTCTCGCCGTCGGCCTCCAAGCAGGTCTCTGGGCTCGAGGGTCTGGAACCCGCACGCCCATCGCCCCCGCCGCCGCCATGTTGCGCAGCGGGTCCTCGGCTTCGCCCCCGCCCCCGGCGGCCGCTTCTTCCCCGGCTGCGGCGGAACACCTCCCTTTCCGACATCTCGTGCTCGTCGCTCTCGCGGCCTCCTCCCCCGCCGCCGCCGCCGCCGCCGCTACCCCCGCCGTAGAGGTGCACCGGCTCGTGGTCGGTGCTGCGCTCGGAGTCCGCGGCGTAGTCTCCTTCCTCCTCGCTAAATATCGCTCCCCCTATCAGCTGGCGCCACCCCCGCCCACCCACGCCGTCCCCGCTCCGGCTGCCAACACCCGCTGTTCTCTCGCCCTCGCTCAGCGCCCCGCCCCCGAACCTCTCCCCCTCTGCGGGCCGGCCGCCGTCGCCGGGCTCCGCAACCCCTTCCCCCGCCGACACCTCGTCCGACGCGGGTATCATGCTGTCCTCCTCCATCGGCTCGGGAGCCGAAGCCACAGCCGGCGCAACGGGCGCAACAACAGTGGGGGGGGCAGCCGAGGTGGCGGTGGCCGTGGCGGCAGCGGCGGCGGCACCGCCGACACTTGTCGTCGGCCGGAAACTCCCGATCGCGTCTACATTGTTTTGGCCGGTGGGCGCGTCCCTGCTGCGTCTCCGCTTTCTCGCGCGGGTGTCCTGCCCGACATCGTCGCCGGGCGCCGGTGCTCCGCCGTCCGCGCAACCTCCCGCTGCACCGACAGCCCCGCTCGCCCCGCCTCCCCCGCCGCCGCCGTCGTCAACTCCGGCGGCGCCGCTGCTCCCCGCGACTTTGCTTCCCCCGCGGCTTGCCGATTGTGCTGGTCCGCCTGGCCGACTCCCTCCGCTGCTGATCGGGCAAAGCGTAAGGGGGGGCCAGCACCCGCGTTGGTGGGAATAGGAATGGGCGGCAAATCAAATTGTGATACACTACACGGCAGCGAAATGCCGCAGGGATAGAGGACACCCCCAACCGACCTCAAGAGGGTGTGAGCGGCGCATGCGGGGGGGCAGTAGACTAGCGCGCCCTGAAGCTGCCTCCGATTTGAACGAAATAAAGGCCCGGAGAAGGCGAGAGTGCGTCGAAACTCCGATTGATGCTTGTAGCCATCGATGAGGCCCATTTCAACGACATGGTTGTCTAGTCCCGTGTTCACATCTACCAGAGGTCTGTTCCCAAATGTTGCATCCACACAACTCCGAACATGGACCAGCAACATAACTGTAAGTCACCAGGTCAGCGTTTGAGCAGGAACTACGCGCTTAGAAGGAAACATACAAAAAACACAAAGCCTCACTTGAAGGTGTAGCCGTGGAAACCTTTGGTGAGGGAGGCGGGGATGCAACTCTTCATGCCCATGTTGAGGGGAGGGACGCTCCCTTTCGGCATCGACTTCGCGAACAGGTTAAACCGGTCCACGAGGCCCTCGGTGCTGTCGTGGTGGTTCGTTGTCGGGAGTAGACAAACAAATATTTCGACGGCAAGGCAGCGCAGCCGATCGCCCCACCAGGGTTAAAACGTTAACACGGGATTGGATTGGACAGCCCATTTCGAAGCAAGCACGAAAGCTGGAAGAATCCTTCCACGCTTGGAAGGTCGCACAGAAGCGTCAGCCCTCGTTGGAAAACCGGCACCCACCAAAATGGCCCCAGTGAGGTATGTAGCTGCAGGAGCATCGCGTCATTGCTTTGCAGAAAAGAGTTATCCGAAAGTCGCTTTACAACTACAGCAAAATGCCCTGAAAAAGACACCCGCACTGGCACAAAAGACAGCAACGTCTGCTCTATTCACAACCCACAGGGACCGCATGTGCGATCGGATGTGAAGCCGTCGAGCACACCGAGTGTTGCGCGTCGTGTGGAGCTAGAACCTGCGCGAACGACACGCCCACATCATACCTGCAGTTTTGCTCGAACCGCACGCAAGCGATGCCGAAGACTTCCGCGTGGCACTGGGCCACCAGCCTCGCCGCCGCGGCCAGGTATTCTCCGGAGTCCACCCACGCCGAGCACAGCAGGACCTTCTGCGACACGGGGATGAGCCTCCTTCGCAACTCTAGCGCCTACAAGTAACCAAGCCGGCGTCACGGTCATGCGGCGGAACAACGAAGAGCACGGCGATTGAAAAAAAAAAGCAGTGTCCCTTCAGCAGGCAGCGTCTTGGAAAAAACTAACCTCGTACTTCTTTGAGCAGAACAGGGACCCCATCTTTCCACACAGCGCATCAGTTGCTCGGGGCAGAGATCCGAACAGCCAGTTAAATTGGTTCGGAGCGACTACGCTTTGCTGCTACATCTCAAAACAAATTTTCGGCACGGGCAAAACTGCTGTTGTTTCCCAAAGGAGCACAAAAGAACATGCGAAAAAAGACATGCAGACAAGCGGCAGGCTTGACCTTCGCCCGCCGCAAGCACAACACCCTGGCTCAAGACTCAGCCCCTGTGCATGTAATGCCACGCCCTGCATTTCTTTTTGCTTCTGATACATGCAAGAATAGCATCCCCACGGCAGAACGATCCCCTCAAAGCTCCACGAAACTTCCCGCTGCGAGACAGAGACTCACCTTCCGTGCGCCGGAGCTCTCGTCCAAAAACATCTCTCGCACGAACTCCGTGCTCTGCTGGCTGTCCGGGTCCACCTCCTGCGCGAACACGTACCCCGCCCGCGCCCTCGTCGCCAGCGCGGCGCCCACGGCCTCGCTCCACCCGTCCGCGTTCGCCGTCACCGACAGCACCGTCAGCTCGTCCCCGCTGAAAAAACTCTTCCCGCTTCTTGTTGTTGCAGCCGCCCCGCCCCCACCGCTACGGCTTGGCATTGCTCCCGTCGCCGCCGGACCCACGCCTCCGCCTCCGCCTCCAGTGGCGGCGGCGGCTGCTGCTGCGGCTGCGCCGCTACAGTCGCCATTTTGAGACGAGATTCCTCCTCCCCCCCCTCCTCTTGTTGAGTTTCTCTTTGCCGCCTGAGGGGACTCCACCCCCCCCCCCGCTGCCGGCGAAGCTTGAGCTGGCTGCTGCTGTCGCCGTGAGCGAGAGCGCGTTCTCCGCGTCGGCGCCAGCGCCTCGGGTTGTGCTGGCGGCGGTTCTGCCACGCCCGTGGCCGAGGGACCGGGAAGGGGAGGCAACGGCGGCTGCTCAACAGCGGGCGAGGGCGCCGCTCCTTGTGGTGCCACGACCGCTGCCGCTACCGGCGCGACGGTGTCCGAAGAGCGACCCTGGGCGCTAACGCGGGCCTGGACAAGACGGGAGTCCGTCTCGTCGCTGAGGTTCCCCTGAATCGTTGCCGTAGGTCACGAGAGAAATGACAGAGGTTGGTGCGCGGAAGCAGCAGGCAAGGAAGAAAGGAAAAACACTGAATGAAACGATCTCAACCTGACACACAAACAAAGTGGGGGGGGCGGGGGCGCCTGTGGATGGACAAGAAGCACAGGGAGACAGAGAGAGAGAGAGAGAGGCGGCGGCGGCGGGGGGTCGACACTTGAGGGACTGGGCGCCAACAACGACGGCGTGCAACGTACGCTATCTACTGCTGTGGAGGGAAGCTCAGTTCTTGGAGAGCACCGTTTCTTTATTTTTTGTTGGCGAGAGCAAGAGGCTTGTTTGGTTGGAGATAGCAAGAGGGTTGAGTGCTCAAGATAATGGCGGGCGGGGACAAGAAGCCTTCCGGTTTGAGCTCCGCTCCGCCAGAGACATTATTTTCACATTGCCCATCGAGGAAGGACGATGATTGAGTACCTGCACCCAATATCGACGGCATTCATCGTGTAACTATGTTACAAATATATATTTGCGCACAAGGAGCCCTGCGTCAACACCAACGTATCGATCTGCGACTCCGATGCGCACATCTGATATAACAGCCTGCTGATGTCATGGTGTTCTTGGTGCAATTGAACATGCCGTTCGGTTTGGAGATTGTGAAGGTCGGGGCACTCACGTGCGCGGGCGTACTACAAATTTCAAACATCGTCGGTTGCCGACAGCAGTGCTTCGGAATTTTTTTACATCTCTAAATGTGACCTCGTTTTTCGAACGTCGTCCGTCTCCCGGTTCTGTGCACGGCCCCGTGCGCTTGCGTGTGTGTTACATTGCCTGGTCTGTCCCCCATTCAAGCCTATTTCTGTTGAGGCGCGAGTGTGTCGTCGCCCTACAATACCCTCCGCTGAGGAAGTAACCAGTAGATAGGCAAAGTTGTCGTGCATGTTACTTTCGTACTTGCACACACCTCTGCCTCGCTGTCCGTGGACTGGCTCTCGCTGCTGGCTTCGAGCACCCCCACCGGATCGTCGCCGTAAGCGTCGTAGGACGGATACCGGCTGCCGTTGCTCTGCTCGAGCCTGAAGTGTCTGCTGAGCTCGTCGATCAGGCTCGAGAATGACCTGCCGTTTGAGAACAGCGGAGCGAGCACATCTCGCACGTTCGTGTGCGCCTGCAGGGGGCCCACCATCGGCATTGCTACAGCCGGATTCGTGTTCCGCTGCTCCGCGACCAAGCTCCGGTGGCTCGGGAAGCCTGCGCGCTCCTCTCTCGCTTCCTCGCTGCTTTCCTTCTTGTTGCGAATTAGCAAACCACAGCGGATTCGCGAACACACAAAAACGGCACACACGCGCGGAGAGCTTTTTTTTCCCGCAAATCTTTTCAAAGCTGTGTCTCGTTGTCTTGCTTGCTTATTGGGTCCTCTCGCCGACGCCCTGAAGTCCCACGGTTCTCCACTCGACAAAGAGATATCTGCTATCGATCGTGTGCGCCCTCGCTCTCTGCTTACTCCTCTCGCTCGCCCACTGCCGTGCACTGACTACCCTCAACGACACGACGCCAGCTGACGCTGTGCATCTCGCCGTCTCGCCCCCCTGCAAGTACCTCCAAGTACTGCCATCTGTGCGCCCCCCTCGAATCAGCAATTGTCAACAACCCAGCAAGCATGTGCCCCTGCCTGTTCACCCCTGCACACCACCCTCTCCACACACACTTTCTCTCTATCGGCAACGGCTGGGAGAAGGGGCCGGGGCCTATGACGACAACATCTGCGCAGAGGGCGCTCGAGGCCACGCTGGCCCGCCTGGGTAAGAGAAGCGCCGCGGGCCGGCAGCAGCTGAGGAGGAGATCTCGGGCATGCTGGAGCGGCGCAACTACGGCGGTGGCAGTGCGTGGCGAACGCTTCTTCAGCAGCACGGCCGTCACAGCCGCAGCGCCTTCTGCCGCCGTGGAGATCCCGGGGGGTAGGGGAAAGGGAGGGACAGGGGCAGCAGTGGTGGCGAAGAAGCCGATGGATGGGTACCTAAACAAGGTGTGTGGTCCTCTGCCGTGTAAGAGAGACAGCAGACCAAGCGCGTACGTTGCAGGCAGGCAGGCATGACCTCCGTTCCGTCAACCCGCTCCTGCTGCTGTGTGCTGCATGCGTAGAACAGAGCACAGATACACGGGGCTTCACCTAGACGTCTTGCCTGGGCTGAGCATAGACCGCTCCCGGAAGCGTTGCGGGCGAAGCTAGAAACTAGCCACAGCAGTTTGGTTGACAAAAGTGAACATTTAAATTCCTGACTTCCGCCGCAGCATCAACGTTGCTCTTTGTAGTAAGATGTACTGCTTGCGTATCTTTGGGGTACATGTTGCATACAACGAGCGTGCGCCACATCGTGTATCATGTGTACTCCTACAGGACGGAGAGAGAGAGAGAGAGAGAGAGAGGGAGGAAGGTCATATCGGCGAGGATTCATTTACATACACAACGCTGTTGATGTGAGGAGATTCATATCCTCCTCTGCTGGGTTAGTTAAGACTCGCAGTCAGAGTATCGGCGCTGCGAGTCGGAGATTTGGAGAGAAACGAGCAAAGGTGGCCTGCAGACGCATTCACTCCTGTAAATCCCAGTCCTTCACCCTCAGCAATACGCTACAAAGTAGATAGTGCTTGACGTTAGTCCCAGGAAAAAGAAGCAGGCTGAGCTTCATGCTTGACTCCTTGCGAGGTCGTTCCTACACTGTCTGTTCGACCAGATACCATCGAACTCCTGTCTGTTGTAGGTACCCGCGCGCCCACGTGGTCGTGTGTTCTCGTCCACTCGAAAAATTCGCTAGTCCACATTTAATGTGTTTGACGTATTAGCCAGGGGCGCACAGGAGGAAGGTCACTCACACACAGGATTTTTTGCTTTTGCTGAACTACCCCACCGTTCCTCCTTCGGTGGTTGTTACCTTCGTTTTCATCGCGAGCCCTTTTGTCCCGTCCGTCCTCGTCGACGACCATGAAATGCTCGCGAAAAATTTGTTTTCAACACCAAATTGAAACACTTTCTTGTTCACTCCATCCAGAGAAGAGAGAACCGAACTACTGTAGTAGACTCACGAGGTTGGGCACTAGACGTCCCTGGCGACCGGCTTGTAGACAGAGGGTGGAAGAATGAGACGTTGACAACAATGAAGTTGTTAATAATGACACTGACTTTGCAAGGGATTCGTTATTCTTGGCCGTAGGTGCTGAATGCGAGAGTATACGACGTGGCGATCGACACCCCGCTGCAGAAGGCGGTCAACATGTCCAACGACCTCAACAACAACATCTTCTTCAAGGTAACGTACCGTTCAGTCTATCCACTTTGGCTGCCTGGTTTTCCTGACCCAGTTTTTCGTGAAGAATTTTGTATTTTTTGTTTGTTTCGTTCGTTTCAGAATAGGCTGCAGATATGAGTGTTCTGGGTGTGTCGCACAATTTGTGCTGCTACCACCGCCGCTGCTGCCGCTGCTTCTGCTGTTTACTTCTTTGCCCATCGCATGCCGTTGTAGACTCCCAGCACCCGTACTTGTATGCGGCGGCTGGCTGTGTGGTTTGCTGCGTCGGTGCCACACACGATGAGATTCGCCCCTGGCTCGGTTGGTGCGAAGTTGTTACACCGCCTTCACCCCTTGATTATTTTCGTGCTAGCCGGCCACTCCCTCCGGCGCCGTACCCGCCGGCGTACCTCCCACCTTGTCGCCGCCCTGTGGAATTCACGAATTCACCACACCGCCAAACTACCGGTTCTGTTCTATTGTGCTGCAGCAACCGCTTTGCTTGATGTTTGCAGCCTCGAAGTCTCTTGTTTTCTTCTTTGTGCTGTCGGTCGGCGAAACACCACGATAGCCCGCTAAGGGTCCGCACAACCTGTAAAATGCATCCATGCCAAACCCACCTCACCCATTGTCTCCCATCCCATCCCCCGCAATCTTGTCCCGACCCGTCCCATTTTAGCGAGAGGACCTGCAGCCTGTGCACTCGTTCAAGCTGCGAGGGGCCTACAACAAGATGAGCTCGCTGCCCCGATCTGCTCTTGATACGGGAGTGGTGGCCTGTAGGTACTTTTTTTTTTTCTTGCTTCTCGTACAACCACGGCTTCTGGTTCATGCATAGCAATTTGTCCGGTCAAGTTTGGGTTGACGACTTTTCAGCTGTCACGATTCAAAACCTGGAATAACCCATGGTCGTGACCTTTAGCAATCGAGTAGACCATGTGCTTGATTTGGGCTGCTAAACACGGCCGCTTGCAGGCATGTTGATAGCCGTAGAACGTTTTGATCATGCCTAGTTTTCACTTGTACACGTTACCGTGGTACCGTCTGACTCGCTGCTATCTACTCGTAACCTCTGTAACTTCATGAGGTAGCCTTCGTTTTTGGTGTCCATCGCTCTCTAGGTTGTTGGTGTGTTTTGCTTCCAAGAGATCAAGCTTTCGTGGTTCAACTCGTGACGAAAACATATTGTTCCACCAGAAAACGTGGCATTGTGTTGGTTAGGTGTTGGTATGGATTTTATTGGTTTTTGCCGTACGCACGCAAAATCATGTGACTCCCCTCCTAAAGATTGCCGGATTTTTTTTCTGGTGATGATGATGATCGTGATTCTTTTGCCGTATTTTTTATGGTTGCGGCTGCTGCTGCTGCTGCTGATGCCGCTACTGCTGCTGCTGTTCTGTTAGGTTCCCCGCTGCACGTGTCAAGCGTATTTTCTGTTTCTGCTTGGCTATCTCGGCAAGTTCAGTGCATTTATTTAAGTCGTTGTATTGTTGCTACTGCTGTTGTCGCTCGTCTTTTTCACGGTTCCCAGCGCCGGCAACCACGCACAGGGAGTCGCGCTCTCAGCGAAAAAGCTTAACGTCAAGGCGGTCATCGTCATGCCCCTGGCCACCCCCATGATCAAGGTGCAGTATTGAATAGTGGTGTGGGCGGCGGTGCTGACGTTGTTGTTGCTGCCGACGGCGGTGTGGGTATTGATGGTAGCAAGCGGTGGCGGCTACGACTTTCCGTCATTGGCACTACCGCAATGTTTCTTCGTCGTTCAAGCTGTTGTCGAACGAGAGAGATGGTAACGCTGTCTTTACTGTTGTTACGTGTGGCCCCGTGAGAAAAGAACAAAACCTTGTTGAACGAGAGAGATGGGAATATCGTCTTTACTTTAGATGCGTGTAGCACCTTCCGATGCGTACCGCACCTTTCCATGCGTGAGGTACATCACGGGCGCGGCAATAACAACAACAATAAAAACTAAAATAATGACAACAACGAAAAGGTGAACGCTGTACGCAATCACGGCGGTCCGACGGTGAGCATCCGGCTGCACGGCATGAACTACGACGAGGCTGCCGAGGAGGCGAACAGGCTAGTCGAAGAAGAGGGCCTCTCGCTCATACACCCCTTCGACGACCCAGAGGTATGTATTGCGTGTCGGTGTTTGTTCCACGAACGTTAAATATTGGCATCATGTTTGTTTTGATGACTGGATGGAATGTTTTGTAAATAGGTGGGCCACTGTGTCAACTGATGTGCTTCGTCGTACGACGAATGCATGTGAAATGCGCTACACATGAGAAAATAACTTGTGAGAGAAGGCATGGCGAGCGCCCGGGGTCGGAGATAGCTCTGTAGCCAAGAGAAGCAAGGCCGAAGGGTAAAGACACCGAGAATATTCGCTAGGAAGTGCCAGGCAGATACCGCCGTTGTCCCCGGCTTGATTTTCCGGTCTCTCTTCCGTTAGCGTCAGCCTTAGGAAGAAATTGTCTGTTGCAGCACCAACGGCGGTGGCGGTGGTAGTGTCACGCTGAAAGAATAAAGGCAGTCAGGACAAGTTGCACGACAGGATGTGCTTTCCTAATGCGGACCCTCCTATTTCGCACCTTTGTGTATGTGTTTCTCTTTTGCCTCTACCGGCGGCATCTGTTTTCCTTGTCGTTCTTGTTGCTGAGGGTGGCGGGCCCTGTTGAGCAACAGCGCGTCGTTTCCCCGACTCCGGCGGGTACACGTTGAGCTTCGATTGTAGACCGCCCGGTCCACGAAATAAATAAGTAGACACAATTGAGAACATACACATGCGTTTTTTGTTCTACATGTACTTACTCGGTCATGGGTTTCACGCCAACGGGTGTTTGGGAGTTATTGTGCGGCGTGCTGGACGCGTTGATACAGGAATCTGCTTTACGAGGACGAATTTGCGTGTGATGCATCTAGTCGTCTGCGTGGTTGGCGTGTGCGCATGGAGACACGGGGCGCTTTGGCATAAACTCGTGCTTGAGGGGGTAGTCGTCGTCAGTATATTCATGGTATGGGAAAACAGGGGAGACGCAGATGGCGAAGGAATGGGAATAAAACGTATTAAATATACGCTCACGTAGAAAAAGGGGTATTTGTACAAAAAGCACAAGGGATTCTTCAGATATTTGTCATGAGCAAGTGGTCTTCGCACTCTTTCAGCAGAAAATGTAACTTTGTCTCTTTTGCTCTCTGTATTGATGCGACGTTTTTTTTCTCTCTCTTCGATGCGATACTTTGTTTCCCTCGTGTTGCTCATTCAGGTTATCGCGGGGCAGGGCACGATCGGGATGGAGATCCTCAAAGAGCGAAACGGCCGGGCTCTGGATATCGTCTTCTGCTGCTGCGGGGGAGGGGGTCTCGTGGCCGGGGTTGCCGCGTACATCAAGCAAGTTCGACCGGAGGTCAAGGTAGACTTCTTCTGCTGAACTCTCGCGTCGTCGTCGTCGTCGTCGTCGTCGTCGTCGTCGTCGTAGCTATGGTGGTGGTGGTGGTGGTGGTGGTGGCGGTGGCTTTTGATGCCTACGCCTAACGATGGCCTGCCCTCCCTGGCTCCTCCTCGGCTTGCGGTCTGTTCTCTTCCTCCGCGCGCTTGTTTCTCTGCTTCAGACCTCTGCTCGCCTGGCCTTATCCGTTGGCTGACTCGCCGCCCTTTTGCAATCGTTTCCTGAGTAATGCAGCACATCCGCCTGCCGTGTCCACCCAGCCTTGGTGTCTTGCCCCGTCTATATCGGAATATCCCGGTTCCCTCCTGCTATTGGCTGAGGGCTAAGTGATCCTGCGGTGCCCCTCTGGGGGCATTTTTTTTCGGAAGATCCTATCTCGTGCCTTGATTCTGAGCCTCTAAACTCGCGGACACTTCCAACCATACCCTCACCCGACACATCGATTTTCCGTCTGTGGGCTACCATCCTCTTCCGCTGTGTAGATTATCCTGACGTTCAATTAACCAGTAAGAGACGATTGTTTTTTTTTTTTGTCCGTATTGGTGTGATGGTGAACCAGGTGATCGGCGTGGAGCCTGAAGACGCCGCGGGGATGACGCTCAGCACCAAGGCCGACCAGGTCATCACGCTGCCTTCGGTAAGTCCACAGAAACATGTGACTTAACTTCAGTGGACCGATTGCCTTCGACCTTGCGCGGTCGTGCACTCAGAAAGAAGCAAAAAAACGGTGGTGCTTAAGCCTGCTGTGGGCTAAACCGACATCATGAGAGGTGGCATGCAAAGTGAAAACCACTCAACAGCTGAGGAGGCCTTTGATCCTTTGGGCGATCGTGTCGCCTCCTGTTCATCCGAAAAGCGCGCCGAAAACCGACGGCCTCTTCTCACGCGTACATCTCTCCTGGCAAACGCTTTATCGCACGCGAATTGGGTGCTGCTGTTGTATGCAACGACTTTCGACAAAAACCGAAAACGAAAGGTGGGGCTGTTCGCTGACGGGGCGGCGGTTCGGACCACGGGAGCCGAGACGTTCCGCGTGGCGAGGGACTACGTCGACAGCATGATGACCGTCACCACCGACGAGATTTGCCAGGTGTGAATGTCGATGGGACACATAAGACAACGGCGCTTGGGTCCTCGGACCCCCTCCCCCCCGCCTCAACAAGGCGGCTGGCCCTCGTTTCCTGATCTTGGCAGCCGTTGCTAGTCTGCTGCTGCTGCTGCTTGTAAGTATGACCGAAATTAGAAAGCTTGTCGAAACACGACGAACTGGCACTCGTCTCGTTCGGGTCTTTATTCCTTGTACGGCACCGGCTGGGCGAACCGTTGTCGCCGGAGTAGAAAAGCAACCTACAGGTACACGGTCTTTTTCTCATGTTCCGACACGGCGGCATTGTGTTGCCTTCCTGTGCGCTGCGCCTGCTCTGCGTGTTTGCTATTTTTTTTTTTTGTCGTTGCGGACCGTGAATGATGTCAACAATAACGGCGTGGACCACAACGACCACGACGCCCGGCGGCGGAACCGTAACTGGTGTAACCCCAATGAACACGACGCAAATGGAAGGCCATCAAGCTGGGTTTCAACGACACTCGGTGCGTCATGGAACCCGCGGGCGCCCTGGCCATCGCGGGGATGCGCAAGTACCTCAAGGACCAAGGGCTCGTCGGGCACTCCGTGAGTTCTTCGAAGACATGCGTACCACCTCTCCCCCTTTATCGTGCTTGTGTGTTTTTTTTTTTTTTTCTGCATGCCCCGTTTGTTACGGGTTTCTCGTTCATCTTGAGGAAGGTTTGTGTTATTGGGGGTCAAAAGGATGGGTTCGGCTGTGCTGCCGCCTTCGTTTTGGACGAGAGAAAGAATGCTTCGTTCGAAACGGTGTTGTTTCCCTCAAGACCTGGCTGTATGTAGGAGGTGTTTTGGAGATGTGCAGAGCGCTTGCGTGGAAGCTTGGAAAAAGAAAACTGCCTGGCGTTTTGGGGCACACGAGAGCAATCATCCTCTCTGAACAAGGACAAACACCAGACTATTACATTGTTGGCCAATAGAAAACCCCTTTCCTAATCTTGAAGTGTATGCGCACGGGCTCGCGCGTTGGGGGGGAGCGGCAGGTGGTTGCTGTGTGCTCCGGGGCGAACATGGATTTCGACCGGCTGCGGTTCGTGAGCGAGCGAGCGGACTCGAGCGAGACCCTCATCTCGGCCACCATTCCGGAGAGGCCGGGAGCCTTCCAGGTACGCCGCTACAACATGGGTACTTTTGTGTCTGTTGTTGTCTGTTGCTTGATGTTGCCTTCCTTGCCCTGGAAGGATTTTTTTTTTCGATCGCGTGTTTGTGATTTTTTAGGTGGTCTGGGTTGTGATGGATCACGCGAACATGTACGGGGAGGGTTTTTCCGTATCCCTTGCCACGTTGTTGGTGGTCGTTTCCACAGAAATCACACGGAATTGGACAGAAGGCGACGGATCATAGAGTCGGATTGATACTTTGTTGACGTGTGGGTTGATCGGTGCGTTCCATCCCGTTTCTTCTGGGTTGCAATAGTGTACCGTGTACCATGTAACCAACTGGACGAAGAGGTCGTTTCCGAAACTTCATTGTTTGTACAAGCGTAGTGCGATCTCTCTGTCTCCTCCCCCCCGTTCTTTCTCGCCCGTACACACATGCGTGTACAAGACTGGCGCCTTGACATCGGTCAGCCGGCAAGCGCGCTCGATGCCATCTGTTGAATCGCATACACATCCTCTCTCTCTCTCTCTCCCCGTCTCTCCTGTGGTCTATGGCCTCGACAGGAACTCTACTCGGTGGTCTTTCCTCGCAACGTGACGGAGTTCAGCTACCGCTACCACACGTCCAGCCGGGCGGACATGATGGTCAGCTTTCAGGCTCTCGAAGGGACCTCCAGGTATGCTTGCGCTGCTCTCGCTTCCATGACGTCGCACGGAGCGTGAGATCTAGCCCCTGCGTCTTGCCGCAGATGGCAGGCAAGGTTTGCCGGGATGCGCTTGGCCAAGACGGTTCTGCCAGGCGTTGCAACGCCTTAACCGAACTTGTCTTGCTTGAACCTTCAAGCCGGGAGGGCTCTTGACCCACTGCCCGTGCTGTACCTCTTTTGGTGGCGGATGTTGCCTTTGTGCTTGGGTGAGTGTTTTCACCGCCCCCACTTTGTTGGTTGCTGCGGATGTCATGTTTTTTTTCTTTTACATGCCGGCAGGAAGGACGACGCGCTGACGGTCGTTGAAGGGCTGCGCTCAAAAGGGATGGAGGTCATGGACCTCAGCTCCAACGAGCTCGCCAAGGCTAGTGCTAGTGTCGTTTGTGTTTACGTGTGTGCATAATGTGCGCCATGTGTATTATTGTGATGCATGTACTGTGTGATCGATGCATAGAAGTACATCATCATATGTTTGTACGTGCGTGCGTGCGTGCGTGCGGCCGTTCACCTCGGCGGCGTGCGCACGATCCCATGTGAGTTTGGACCGAGAAGACCCCAAGCACCATGTCGACATCTGAACACACCCATGCCGAGACGCCAAGATGTTCAAGCGATGCGTTCCGGCGATCAGCACGCCACTAGTTGGATTTTTTCTCAGCAGCACGTCAAATCAGTGCGGCAAAGAGTCAGGATCTCAACGTTGCAGCTTCGGTCTGCGTTATTGGTACTACACCCAAACGGTTCCGAATTGGTAAGCCTCAAGTGCAACAATAGTCTAAACTATATGGTACAGAACCCCGTCCTCCCCCCCCCCTCTGCGTCCCTTTGTCTGCTTCATGGTGACAATATGCAACAGGCACACGCTCGGCACATGGTAGGCGGTCGGTCCCCCAACGTGATGAATGAGGTCCTCTACCGCTTTGAGTTCCCGGAGTCCCCCGGAGCCCTGAGCCGCTTCCTGGCCGCGCTGAGCGGGGGGTGGAACGTGAGCCTTTTCCACTACCGTAACCACGGGAGCGACTTCGGGCGCGTGCTAGCGGGCATTCAGGTGCGTTTGTTGGTGCGGCCGTCGTCGTCGTTGTTGTCGTTGTTGCTGCTTGCTGTTGTTGTGGAAGCGTGTTGTTGCTTTGTCTGCTTTTTGGTGTGTTGACCTTGTCGCTTGTGTGTCATGTCTTTGTCCGTGTGTGTGTGTTTTCTTCAGATGCCATTTGTGTTTCGGCCTGTTGTTCTCAAGGCTTCTGGAAAAGGAAGAAACGCCTTCTGTTTACTCGCTTTGTTTGTCCGTGGCAACTAGATTGTTGCGTTTGCAAGCGCCATTATGACGTCGAAAGCCCCATCGTGTTCCTATTCAAGCATCTGAATGTCGTCGTGTGCACAGACAGAGTTGAGTCCATCTCTGGCGGCATCTTCGAAAAACTTCAGCCCTGCTTTCATTCCTCAGGGATTTCGAAGTGCCTATAAGCCCCAAAGATTACTACTTCGAAGTAGTAGATATCGACATACACGAAAACACCTGTACGATATGTGCGACTCTGTTACCCAAGCCTGCAACAAAGCCTACAACAGCACATTGCTCGACTGCTATGTCTTGAATCCGGCACCCTTCACTCAACCACGATCTTCGGTGTACGTATTCTTTTCCATCGTGTCGCCCCCCCCCCCCCCACCCCAACAACACAACCAAC